ATTTTTAACATGTGTACTTAAAAAAACCTCTTAAATAAAAGTTTTTATTCAAGTCATAATGACACAAGAGTTGGATGAAATTTGAAAAAAGATAAAAGATCATTTAACTACATTCTATAAATTACCATAAAAATTATTTTAATACTTACTTATAAGCCACCTTACAAGTTAAATGCAAAATTTCTAACATATTTTTAAATTTGTAATATAAAATTTTACTTAATAACAAACTTGTTTTTAAGTTGTACGCCTAACTACCTTAAATCTAAACCTTAATTATGCTTTAAGCTGCTCCATTTGGTATGATTATAGTTTTAAATTTTTTATTTGATTTTTATAAATTTTATAATTTTAAACAAAAACTCATTACTTTTATGTATTTTTGTAATATATTAAAATGATTACTCAAAATTTTTTTTAAAAAAATAGGTCTAATGTTATTAAACAAATTTATACTTTTTATTGTCAGTATTAAAATTTAATATGAACAAATTTTTAATATTTTATTTTTAGTTTTAATTTTTGATAATTATAAAATTAATAAAAAAATCAAAATTAAAATAAAAAACAATGACCATACTAAATGGAGTTTTAATTAACTACACATTGGGCTTTGCATAGTAAGGGTTCTGTTCATTTTTTGTTTATGGGGTATTGTTTATTTTTTTATTTATGGGGTATTGGCTATAAAATATGATGGAAAACATGATAACAAAATTAATGGAGAAGAAAGCTGTTGATGCTTCAAACTCGAAATAGCATAAGCACTATCAAGAAAAACGTGGCCGTGTGAGCACTAAGATTTGTTGGATGATTTTCGCGTCATTGATTAGGTAAGGCAAGTTTCTTTCTTTCTTTCAAGGAATATCCAAAAATTATTAAAGGTTTATTTGATTTAAGAGAAAATAATAATAATAATTTTTTATTTAATTATAAAAAATTATTAAAAAAAGAGGAGAATATTGTTTATTTTATTTTTCTTTTTTTAACTTCTTTAAAGATACCGTGATAATTTTAAGAAAAATTAAAAAAAAAAAAGTTAACTCATTTTGAAGTTTTTGTGAAGCTGTTGTGTGAATGCAACTTTTACATTAGTAAAGAGAGAAATGGTTTTTACAAAAACAATGAATTATATATTTATATAAAAATTTATCAACA